AAGAACAATACGAAGAATTTGTTTAAACAGTTGCCGGAGGTACCGTAGTGGAATAAAAATTATGTATAACTGTGATTTGAAGATGCATTTTTTTCGAGGTTAAACGTAAGTTCTTTTAATTGTCATTGATGATTCATTGTTCCTCTTCTATTGTATATCGATTACAGATTTTAATGGCCTTGAATGGCTAAAAATGTACTGCCACATACGTTTTTGCATGATTCCATGAAAACGCGAGACGAACACGTTTATAATATTTCGATAAAATGTTCGTAACGCGTATCATTACGCGTCCAGACTTAACGAAGCATAAAGAAAACGAGCGAAAGCCAGATTCTGTGTTGAATATCATTTGCTTTATTAGCCATTCTAAATTGCATACGAGTTGCTTCGAGTGAGTAGTAATGTATTCGTGAAATATGTTTGAGTGAAAAATCGCGGTGGGTGGTAACTCCGTTAGTTAGCTTCTTTAATTATTCATGTCTTTTAATCACCATTCAAATTCTCCCCGAATATTCGATGTAAATTCTAATTTTATCAGCGCACCGACCTGCGAGCCTCCATACTCTAACCCCCTAATTACCTATGTTGATTTAACACTTTAATAGTACAGACGTTTATTCAAACGATGACAATTTCTATATATTTCTCGTTGTCAACACAAACTTCGTTTTTTTTCAATATCTTTTCTTTTCTTCGCGTTTATTCAAAACAACGCGTACACACACATCCATGAAGTTTACATCAATATTAACCTACACGTCTACAATAGCAACGTTTGTCCGCGAAAGATGTGCCCGACGAACATTTCCCTGTTTCCGCAGTTTCATAATTCGCGGCGAACTGCGTCGGTGCAACGTGCGCGGCGATTCGGATTCAAGTTACAGGAAGCTACGAAAAATCCGAATAAGCGGATTCCTAATCGGTTTACAACGAAGTTCCCCCGAGATCGATCTCCTCGAAATAATCCACCGAATGAGCAAATTTAATCACGCATCACGGACTTCCTTGGACGGGAGGATCCGTCCCATTTAGTTACGTTCGACGTCGTTCGACGTTGTTCCGCACGCAACGCGGAACAGGCCGCGAAAACAAATAAGAAGAGGAAAGATCGCGCGCTATAATCTGTTATCGGGCCGACTAACCCGGCCGTTACACATCCATTCCATCAGTTTGCATTATAGGATTTCACGAAACGACCGAATCTCACGCTTTATCCGTGATAGATGCGGCTACGTGTATCAGGCTTTCGAGGGCGCGCATTAAATACGAAATCGCGGGCTGGTCTTTCTAACGCTGTGTGCGCGCGCGTCCGTCCATCGGTGCCCGCGGACACGTGTGTGTGTGTGTGCGTGTGCTGTTTCCGAGCGTGTCGGAGGCTGCGATACCGAGGAAAAAGAGGGCGAAAGGGCGAGGCGCTTGTTAAGTTAGTCCCGGGGATTCCTGAGTGCGCGCGTACACGCCGGCAACGTACGAATTACACGATCCGACTCGTGCACCGATGATCACAAGAAGTCGAAGGGGAACGACAGAGAATGAAGGTGATGAGGACGACTAGGAGAGATGACGACGAAAGATGACGCTGACCACGAGGCAACCGGCGCGCTCCGCGCCAGGCCACGGTGAAAGTAATAACAGTGAAACGTGCGCATACACGCGGGCGAAATCACGCACGCAGACCAGCTCACCGGACCAGCTTACCGGACCAGCTTTTACGTGACTGGTGCTTAAGCTATTTTTCGATACGACCGGTACTTAGGTGCACGTCGGGCTACAACCGCCCGCTGGGCTCTCCCATAGAAACCACCACCGAAGATCTGCGTCCTTGGGAAACTCGAGGAGGCCGAGGACGAAGTGGCCCGCCGCGTCCAGGAAAGGAGAGAGAGGCCGTGGGGATAGGGGACGGATAATTGTGGAACGGATCCTCGCCATGTATTACACACCGTGAGATTCGAGTGAAAACGATCAACCGGGCAGCGCGCGGAGCGAGGAGCGTGGACCGCACCGTACCATTTCACCGATCTAGCTTTATTTCAGCCGGAGATCAAACATCTCCGCGCGAACTTTGTTGCCTACGAACGAGTTAAGTGAACGAGTTCGTGTAACGGCGGGAATCTTCCTTGGTGAGCCCTTGCTCGGGGGATTCGAGGTAATTAAAGAAGGTTCTTCCGAATTTTAACGCTAGAACTACTGTAACAGTCGAAATGACTAGTTTCGATTCGTTTGTTTAGCAATTGCTGATATCTTCGAAGCACTGAATATTTGAAATTATTTTGGGATAAATAGTCTTATTTGAGTACTATAATGAATGCCTGAAGAAACTGAAAACAATCTATTACAATTTTTATGGGAATTGCATATTAATCGTATTAAATGCTCGGTAGTTCTAGTGTTAAGGAATTTCTAGTTGAACAATGGACTTCTATGATCGTTCTGGTTCCTTTTTATTCCGAGATGGAAACTCTCGAGCTAAACACGATTACATGGAACGTAATCGAAGTAATGTCGCGACGAATGATTTTACAGAACGCAAAATTTTCCAAGTGGAAATGCTTTGCGATCTTGCTAGGTCTAATTCGTTCGCGACTCTATTTTTCTTATAATTCCATAAACATTTCTGATACTCAACAATTAGACTGCAGATTTATCCTTCGCAAAGAATCCGAAAGTGCAGAATTTCACGAAATGTACACAAAGAAACATACAAATTCCCCACGGTTCAACCTCCCTTATAATATTCCTTCGGATAAACTGTCTCCGCGACTGTTTTCCCAAGCATGTTCCTGCACATTTGAATTTGCATACGGGCCCGTAGTCCGCCGGTGATCATTTCTATCGTACGAAAAGCCGAAAGAAGAGGATAAGTTCGGTCTCCATTGTCGTAAATACGGTTTCCATGCGAGAAGCGTGCATCCGGCCGACGTGACAGTTCGAGTCGCTGGAGCCGGCCAGGCCGGCCGGGTGAAGATGGCATCCAGGTTGCCGTATGAACTCGCGATATCGCGATGTATCGCGCACATATGTGCGGAACGCGAGTATACGAAAATATTATGTGTATACGGGTCTACTGCTGACGTGCGCCCGCAGATGTACACTTCGCCGCGACACTGGAATCGGGTCAGCCCGAAATATTTTTCTGGACGTTTCCGAAGGAGGACGTTCGGCCGGCGCACGCGTGGCGGACACTCGGCAAAGTTTTCGTGTCAGCGGGGTATGCAAACCGCTGGAAAGGTGCCTGCTGGAATTACGAACGTTTTAGTGCCTCCTCGGAGCGAGTTCAGTCGAGCAGTCGAGAGAGAAGATCGGTTCCGCGGTCACGGGAAAAATCGGGGAGAAAATTAGGGACGGCTGAAAGGAAGCCGCGAGAGCTTTAATAACAGACGATTGAGCGATCACCGCGGAATGACTTTTAATTCTACGTTAACGTGCTTTTAATACCCACTTATTCAGGTACAATGTTGCGGCTGCTAGCCACAGGATACACGCGATAAGGGACTCGTGCGGGCGCTGTAAAAATTTTCTATAATTTAAAGACCCGTCCGGCGGCTTCGATCGCCCGGTAATTTTGCAGAAAATTACGTAACGGAATTTATTACCGATAACAATCTATTGGATTCCCATAAAATAGAGGCAGGGTTCTTTAACATTCCTCAAAATAACGTACGATCTCGGGTTACACGATACGGTTACCCCCTCTCAGCCGGTTAACCAGCCCGGTCGCGAGAATAAGCGAGCGTTCGCGTTGGCGCACCTGTCTCCGCCTGATGGGAAACGCACCAGAAACAGAAAAACAAGATTAATTGTGCCGGTTAAGTGATATTCCTCCCGTAATGGAGCGGAAAGAAATTATAGCGTGTCACCCGTGGCGAGATTAGCACCGTTTATGCTCGGCAGTTGATGCCCATTGATCTCAGGTAATTGTACCGTCCACTTTCAGTGGAATCCCTTGACACGCTCGGTCCAACGTGTACCACGTGTGGTAAACGTGAATTTTTGTAACAGAATATTTTTAACAGAACTATCGAGCATTTAATACGATTCATGTGTAATCTCTATAAAAATTGTAACAATAGATTATTTTTAGTTTCTTCAGACATTCATTATAGTACTGAAATGAAACTATTTATTTTCAAAATCATTTCGAATATTCAATCCTTCGAAAATATCAATAATTGCTAAAAAAACAAAAAATCGAAACCAGTCATTTTGACTGGTATGATAGTTCTAGTGTTAAGTTTACAGAGAGCTGACACAATACAATGGAGAACGCATTAATGAAGGAAAAAATTGAGAAGAATAGTAAAACCATTAGTTCAAACTTATTTATGGCTTTTTTTATACTTTCCCGAAACTTTTGCAGCAAGCCATGTATTGCCAGCAACAAAGGTTCATTGAAATTGTCCAGTCGATGCAGAATTTTATTGGTTCGAATACTAATTCACTCTGGTTGAAATTGTCTGCTGTGTTTCTTCGACAATAATAAAAATTAAGAAAATAGCATAGTTAGAGATTGAAATAGTGAAATATTCAAAATTCATCAAATTTCCTTTAATACTAGAACTACCGAGCATTTAATCTCTATAAAAATTGTAACGATAGATTATTTTCACTTTCTTTGGATATTCATCGTAGTACTCGAGTGAAACTATTTATTCCCAAAATCATTTCAAATATTCAATGCTTTTAAGGTATTGACCCTTTGCACTCGAAAGTTTTTCACTAGAAATACTCAATATTCTCCGACGAGATACAGACGATGTCCTTCGAAACTAATTAATGAGAAAACATGTATAAATCAAGAAGGAAAGTTATTTTATTTCAATATTCCATGTATTGATGCATCATACGAAGCTTAATATTATATATAGGACTTTATAATTTTGCAAATCAAATCAAGTGGTTACTGAGAGTCACCTCTCGAGTGCAAAGGGTTAATTGAAGAAATCATGCACTAGTGGAATTTTGATTCCTCATCGATAAATACATAAGGAGTTACTTACGAATGATTTTTCAAGATAGTTTCGATGGTGTTCGTGAGGACAGACCAGATGAAGACGGACCCGTCCGAGGAGCCAACCGCGATGTACTGGCCATCGGGGCTAAAAGTGGCTCGTGTGCAGTCGAAGCCGACTTTGAAACCGTCCGCGCTGAAAAATAAAGAGAGAGAAAGAGAGAGAGAGAGAGGAGAGCGTTATAATTAATTTCGATTCACTTCGGTTTATCTTACTCTCGTTTGAACGCTCGCCCCATTATACGCGTATTTCATCGTGGGCATAAACTTTCCGTCACAAAAATCCCCGTCGAGCGGAGCAACGTACGAAAATTATTCGAAACGTCCGCGAGAGAGAGAGGATTTAGGATGAAATCGGACTCGTGAAAAATCGAAGAAATACAAGGGAATTAAGCCGGCATTTCGAACCGGGGAATGAAAATTGTTGAGAATCAGCGCAGGTAATCGTGGGTTGCCACGACCATCGCACCTCAGATCCGCTAATACAGCCTCGAGACATCATAAACTGGGGTCCTTGGACAGCTGCGCATCGTGTGCGTTCGAATCTTATCTTCGGGACGTTACTTCTAGACTGTGGAAATTTATACAAACTCGCGTTCTCGTGCTTACATATAAAAAAAAAATATCCGAAGCAGCGAGGGGAGGGAAGGTACAGAATTAACTCCTTCTCCTTCATTAACGAGGAAAGCCCTCGGCAAATTAAAGTCCGAACGAAGCTATATCAAGTTTTATTAAATTTTCTTAAATTTGTTGCGTGTCATTTTGCCCGGATCTCTGGAACTCGCGGACACATAAAGTTCCGCGATCCGTTCGGTACTAAAGATTTGATGTCCGGTACTCGGATTAGTGTACGCGAAGTTTCTATCGAGGCGGTTCTTCTTCACGCGCGCGACCACTCCCACATTTCCACCGGCGCGAACGTCGGGGAGCGTTTTAAGCGATACACGCATGCACGGACGAGAACGCGCGTGGCCATCGCACGGTCATCATCCTGATACACGGGGGACAGGTAACAATCAATCAGTCAACATCCAGACGCGCTGGGGATACCGGTAACACTCGGACATCACATTTGTTACAACTATTACAATTTAACCGCGTTACTTATATCTGGCCGCGTTAATCATCGCGTCACACCTATCTCCGAGCAGCCCTTGAGCGTTCTCCTCGCGCGCAATGCCGACGAAGACGCGCGTTCAACGTTGCGAACTGAGAATCTCGCCGTGCGAAAGGTGTTTCCATTTCTACCGAAGGCGAACGTCGCTTCGACGACACCGATATTTACAACGAACACAACGCAACGACATCGCAGGAATAATACGCAGCGCGACTTTTTGCTCGTCGATGATTTACGAGAATCTTATTCCGAGATGCGCGATAGTACGAGATAGAGATCGTAAAGCGAGGAATAATTACCGACTAGAATCGGCCGGGCGATGCACGTGAATTACAGTATAGAGGCGAAAATATCGAATGGAGATAAGTTTCGTTAATTTTTACGTACACCTATAAGCAACGCATTGCGATCGCTCAATTATCTTCGGGATATCCCGTAATTGCACGGAATTCACGGTTTATTGATAATCCGAGCGAATCTGTTTGCACGCGATGCGCGGATACCCCGGGAATCCCCGGTTTATGCCCGTTTGAGCGGTCCGAGGGGCCCATTATCGTCGGAGCGTAAAATAATTTTTAATAAATGTGACAGGCGCCATTCAATTACGTTCCACTTAGAGATGTAAACGTTTACGCGAACGGGGTCGCCCTTCGCGCGTGCGTTTCCGCGGGAAAAGGGATCGGCCCCGTTCGCGTGGCGCACGGAAGACAACACTCACCTAAACGATCCGATGATCTTCTTCATCCGCAGGTCGATAAGTTTCAGCGTGTCGTCTCTGACGCAGCTCAAAAGGTAATTTGCATCTGAAAACAAGCAGGTGTCGCTACATGAATTTGCATGTCGCCGATATTCAAGTTAAATTGGCTGCGCTAATACGGTTGGCCATACAGCTCGCGTACGTGCCCGCATAAAGATAATAAGCAATCGTTGATTACGTTCCCCCGGATGGTATTCCGATCACGTCGCGGGGGAAGTTTCTGCGAATTTCCGTTATTTGAACAGCCACGGCCGGGGGATCGGGAAGGAAAAGGAAGAGAGGAGGAAAAAAAGAGAGAAAGGAAGGGGGGAAACGAGACGGCGCACCTTGAAATCTTGAAATGCGCCGGGACGGATCCGCTAAGTAAGTAATTCCTTTTCGGAGCGTATAAATCTTATGAGGAGGCGTTCGGTAAAGGTATTCCGGAATCTAGCGGACACGTTTCCCGTGGAATGGAATATTATACTTTAATGGAGGTATACATAATGTATTACCGCCAATGATAAAGGAAACGCATTAAAGGGGTGGGCACGCGGCGAGATCGACTCGAACTTTCCGCCGCGTCGTCGCTTCGCCTGCGATCGCTCGCTCGCCCGTCCGTCGAGCATTATGCGGATTAACGAATTACTATAAAATAATTTTACATGCATTTTACATAGTCACCCGTATCGACGCGAAATTCGAGCGGAGCGTACTCGCGCTTTGATACATTAACGAGCGAGTAACGACGCCGTCTGAATTCCGTTATGTACTCGATATTTTTCGGTCTGATTCGATTAATTCAGCGACGAGACGTTGGTTGACACTTTTTTGCATTCTCGTTTGATTTCTAGGGACAATTCATTTCGAACGGTGATTACGTTTCGCGCGTTTCAGCGAATCCGATTCTTTCGGCGGATACACGGTGGGACTGCGTCCCCTAAGGAAGATAAATCGGCAACATCCTGAATTGTTTAGTTGATGGGAAAGTAATGTCTATATAATGCGTTCATGTGTGTGAAACTTACCACGAGATAAATCTAACGATGTGACCTTCCCCTCGAGTAGAATGTCGTTTGAACTCGATTCTACTCTGGTGTCCCAGAATCTGATTCTCTGATCAAAGTGGCCGCTAATTATCGTCGAGCCCTCGCCGTCGGATGTCACGAGATCGTTGCAGCTGGAGCCGGCGAACTTCGTTTCTATGCCTGCAACCAAATATTCGCGCCGGATTCATTATATTTTCTCGTGCGAATCGAGTCTCGCGACGACGACAGGATGATCGAATACAATTACTCCGTCCGAGAGGAACTTGCGATCCGGAAATTAGAAATTAATCGCAGCTCGACGTAACTTCCAGTCGGAACTGGGGGTTTCTGCGGAACTGAATTCATATGAATATTCATGGCTTACTTATAGCTTTGACGAGTCTTTCGAACGTCTTAAGTATAGCAATCCGAATGTAGTTTAAATCAACCTGATTACAGTGCTCGGCTATAATCGCGTTCACAATTAATCAACTGTCTTTATGAACGCTTGAATGCCGCACGGTTTCATGGAGTAATCTATTACGAGGAATGGAAGAAACGTAGTATTAACTATTTGCACTCGGGAGGTGACTGTCAGTCATCACTTGATTTGATTTGCAAAATTATGAAGTATTATATACAATATTAACCCTTTCCACTCGGATGTTGTGCTTTGCATGATGCATCGATATGTGGAATATTGAGATGAAATAACTTTCCTTCTTAATTTATATATGTTTCCTCATTAATTCATTTCAAAGAACATCATCTCGAGAATATTGAATATTTCTAGTGAAAAACTTTCGAGTGCAAAGGGTTAAATGATTCGATTGAACTCCGTTGTTATTCAATTAATTATTAATTAATTAATTTCAATGAACATCATCTCATCGGAGAATATCGAAAATTTCCGAAAAACTTTCGAGTGCAAAGGGTTAAACGGTTCGATCGAACTCCATTGTTATTGTTGCACGTTCCAGATGAACGTCATCAAGCAGCATTATATATAAATCATTTCAAATAACCGTCGTTTAATTGAACGAACGGCGACCCCCGCGGCATTCGATGTGTCAAAGGTCATCGATACGTTGCAGCCGCGGATCGATTCGACTCGCGGAGTGTGCGGTGGGCAACAATCCAGTTTCTCGGTCTGAAAATTCCAATCGAAACGCGGATCCCGACATCCCCATAAAATCTGCTTACGTCGGTGCACCTAAGTCAACGCGTATGATGCATCGCTCACGAAGTAATGGGGGGACCCGGTAATTCCATCCTCGCAGGTAGCTCTGTGCCCGGGGCGATATCAATAACCTACGTATCGTTGCGGTAAATTCGACAGGCTAATTGATTAGCTGGTAAATCACGTTTGACTCAACATAGACTGGGCGGCGTCAAAGCGGAACAGCGCACAAACAGCCAGAAAATTCGCGAACGGCACAAAAGGTTGCGCCCGGAACCGAACGAGTCCGGCTAATGTTGTTTATAGCCGCCTCATTGTAGAACCGACGGTTTGTCCCTTGTATCCCGGAACGATTGCCAATGAAATCGTTTCCATCGCGAGGCAACCGAAATAGCTTTGAATTTCCTGTTACCGTTCGCGCGTTCGCAAATTATTTACAGCTTCATCGAATCTGCACACACTGGTCGGGGTAATCCGATGCGCGAGGCGTCGGAATTTTAATTTCGGTGAAACATCTGTAGTATCGTGGTTTTAAGACAGTGAGACAGCGAGTGTAAGGGCCATAAAAGGGAAAGGGACGCATGGAGACCAGGCCCAAGGGTTGCTGGGTTTTTAACGCTAAAACTACCAGACGGGTCAAAATGACCCATTCTTGATTGGGGACTTCATTCTTGAGTGAGACTCGTGATGAAGATTAAATTAATTTAACAAGAATCAATGTCGTTCATTGCCCATGGATCAAAGACAACTATTTTGCTATTATCAATGTATCTTCAAATGAAATTTCCAGCTCAAGTAGAATGGAAAATTTTCTTGTACTTCTTACAAATTGTCGATAGTAAAGTATTACAGGAGCTTAGTAACGAAAGTAAATAGTACGCCAAGGGATTAAAAAGATAAGAATTAAAGGAATTAATTTACCAATGCGCAAATTGAGTTGTAAATCGATTGGTGTCTCGATATACGCATTCTTGGAGTTTCTATAGAAGAATTTCAAAAAGTCGATTTAACTGCTACTTTTAGTGTTAAGTGCGGAGCTCGTTTCTATTCATTTGTATTTTATTCAATTACCTATTCCCATGTTTTTAAAAATAAAACATATTTAAACACCATTAATACCACGTATCGTTCTCAGTTTCACGGTAATTTTAGCTTGTCGTATGGGGTGTATTCGCTGCGTGCTATATTTCTCAGTGCACGGGGTTTTATAATACACGCTTAACTACATACCAATTTTCCGCAGTAGATGTACATACGATAATTGCGCGTACAGAGGCAATTTAACTAATTACACGAACGGGGAAATATCTCGCGCATCATCGCTACACTGCGGATTTACACGGGGATCGCAAGTTTTTCGGAATATAACTAGGAAAATAGAATTCCGCCGGAGAATTTGTATTCTTAAGGAACGTTATAGACGGTGTAAGGAGTTTGAGGGCTGAATAATGAAATGGTGAAAACTTGGTTTGAATATTTCGCTTTTTATCTACTGCTCCTCGCTCGGAGATTACAGCTTAGCCAGATGACCCCTTCTTGTCAGCGTGGCTCCGGCTCTGTTTATTGCACCCCGAGACTCTGGGACGCTTTCCCTTAACCCTTTGCACCCCAAGAGTGTTCCACTGGAAATACCCAACACACTTCTTGATGGAGTATAGTCGACATTCCGTAAACGCGAAATCACTTGAATTAAAATATTCGTAACACGACAGGAGTAATCTATGAAAACTGTAACGTAGTTATTTATGTTTAAATGCAGATACTTAATTAGTACCGATCATTTTTATCGCAAACACTCCGTAACTTATTCCTCTTTTTCCATTCTTAGTTTTTTTATCGAGACTAAATACTCTATAAAAGTGCGTTTGTATTCATCTGGATCCTTTCGTTACCGTGCGCATTGTATAGTTAACACATTCGCTGCCAGTCACGAATATACTCGTAGCAAGAAATTGTCAATTCGGTACAATCTTGGTTGTATTTGAAATGTATCGTAATATAAAGAAAAATAAATTGAAAGTACAAACGAAATTACAGATTTTATGGTAGCAGTGAATGGGTTACTACAAGATTTGTCATTATTATAAACGAATAAGGAATACTGTATAGAATGCCTAAAATTCTCATGGCAGTGAACGTGTTAACACATTGTTGACCGGTCAGAAGTCAACTCGCATTTGCACTCGCATTATTTCAATGTTTAAAACAGGGCAATATAGAACACTGCAAAAGCAAAACATTCAAAATTATATTTCAGTTCATTCTACGCAAACAAAGTACATTGAAGCTCATTTGGATCGTACTTTCATATTTCATTACGAAATAACAACCGGCGACGCGAGACAGCTTCTGCATGGAATTGCCGGTCAATGTGTTGAGATAACCTCTAATTGGTTGCAGGTAAGATGAGTAGACCGGCGTTCGCCGGAGATCTATAATTTCTCCGTTCCGCGTTTCTGATATCGAAGTTACTTCCCCGAGTTTGTATTAGCATTTCCCGAC